AGACTCGGGGGATCTGTTGGCGACATACAGGTATGTGAGGAGATGTCACATGGAGATGGGTAGAGACCTGTTCTCCCCTGCAGAGGAAGGCAGGACGCGCTCCAACGGAGCAAAGCGCAGGGAACCAAGGTTCCATTTAGATGCCAGGAAGCACTTCCTGACAGTTAGGACCCCGAGGGTATGGAATGGGCTTCCATGGGAGGTGGTTGAGGCCCCATTGGTGAGGGTGTTCAAAGATAGGCTGGACATGCTCATGGTGGGCATGTCGTGAGCAGAGCTGGGTGGAGCCAGGGGTCAGACTAAATGGCCCGGGAGAACCTTCTGACGCGCTCTGTTTCTATGAATATAGCTCTAGGACCTAGAGTCTAGGTATTGTGGAGAGATGTACTTACTGATGTCTTTTCTGAATTTAGTACTATTCACCTTCAATTGGGTGACTCCAAGTTCTAGTATGATAAAAAAGGGAGAAAATAATCTGTCTACTGTTTCTCTATGATTTAAAGTTATTTATAAGCTGTTCCTTCCTATCATTCTATGTTTCCTACAAATAAAAAAAGTTAAAAATCTATCAAGTTAACTCATTGGTTCCCAACCTTCCTGGACATGGGGCCAGATTAGAGTGTCCAATGTTTAAAGGGCAACATCTTAAATCAAAATGTAACAATATTATTAACTTATCAATTCAGATCAAAAGTAAACATTCAGAGGTCAGTGAAGAGATGTTGAATTGAATGCAATCTATTTTGGAAAATATTTTACTGTGGAATCCTTTTATTTAGTCACATGCTGTTTTCTGTTAGCTAAGACAATGTACAAGTCAAGGTTTGTGACAGACACCCTTAAAATGTCATATAAGTATTCATGTGTAAGTCTTTGTTACGAATGCTCTTTCCTTTCCTTCGGAAGAGAAAAATATACCAAGCCTGCAGAGAGTTCTTTTTAAAACTTTATTGCAACAAAGGGAACAGAAAAAATGGTTTCCTTCCCAATTTCCTGATCACCCAAGCACATGTTAACATCCCCTTTTTATGCCCTGCACCCAGCCACTTCTCCCTCCTCCTTTCCCCTCATTGGCTGGGGTACTGGGAGTTCACAATCTTTCCCACCTGCCTACTCCATGCTTCTCCAATGCCGGCCCTTCTTCCCAATCCAGCCCTGCCCCTGGTGAACTACGATAGGCTTATTTTGTTCTGCCAAGCTTGTCAATAAACAATCAGGAAGTATTTGGCCCTTCTGCCTATGTACCTGTTTTCCCATACTTTGTGCTACCTGATTTTAGCCCCTCCCCTCCTTTAGGCCAAGTAGTCTTGTTACCTTTTAAATCTTACTGCTCACTTGTTTCAAATCATCCTTTCACATCTATCAGTCTTGACCTTGGATTTCACAATGTTCATCTCGGAAAAAGTTTGTTCACAGATTTATGTGATGCCAAAGACTGTGAACATGCCTGCAGCAAATTTCTTTAGCTTGATAAATATATCAGGTAGATCACAATAGAAATTTAACCGTCTATTTCATTGTGAATGTCTCTGAAGGTATTTTGAACCCAAGTCATGAAGGGCTTTAAATTTAATTACCAACACCTTGTACCATATCTGAAAATGCATTGGCAACCAGTGCAAAGACTTTTAACTAGGTGATATTATCTCTTCATGATGTCCCAGAGACCAGCCTGGCTGCCATATTTTGTACTAGTTGCAGTTTCCGGAGTAGGCACAAGCATGTAGAGTGCATTGTAGAAATCAAGTCTAGAAGTTACCAATGCATGCACTACTGTTTTTAAGTCATTCCCCTTCAGAAAGGGACACAGTTGGTGAATCAGCTGAAGCTGATAGCCGACACTTTTGACCACAGCTTATGTCTGAGCTGGCATCTGAAGGGCTGGGTCAAGTAGCATCCCCAAACTGTGAGCATCGTCTTTGCGGGGCAGGCATCTAGAACCAGTTGACACATCGCTGATCCTGGATTTGGACACTTAACACCAAGCACCCCTATTTTGTCTGGATTGAACTCTAGTGTTTTTTTTTTCTTTCTCATCTATCATATTACCAGCTTCAGACAGTCATTTAGATGAGAGGCTCTGTTTCTAGAAGAAGCAGCAGATGATGGTAAGGAAAAGTAGATCTGGGTGTCAATCAGCATACTGATGACATCCAGTGCCACTCCTCCAGATGATCTTGCTCAGTGGCTTCATGTAGCACTGAGCTGCATCAGAGACAGATTGGAGACCCGTGGGACTCCAGGACTGAGCTCCTTCTTAAAGGAGCAACAGTCTCCAAGCATCACCATCAGAAACTGACCTGAGCAGTAGGAACAGAACCACTGCAAAGCAGTGCTTCCAGTTCCCAACTCTGTCAGAAGATCAAGAACAATATTAGGATTGATAGCATTGAAGGTTGCTGAGAGATCCAACAGAACCAACAGGGACTCACTCTTCAAATCAGTTATGAGTCATAGATCATACACTAGAGTGACCAAATCAAGATTAAGAGGACAGTGGTTTTTCTCATGAGTCCAAGCAGCCTGTCAACTTCATCGGAACTTACAAATTGAAATTGATCCAGGATTAATCCCATGCATGGAGTCTCTGGACACCTCTGTGTTGATCTCTACCTCCACATTTGCATCAAGCTCACCTCTTACCTGAGAAGTTTTATCTGCAAAATGGTTGTTAAAAGCATAGCAGTGAGCAACTGATGTTGCTAAAGATAGGCTAGGGAGTATTGGGGCGTGAGACAAATCCCTTACCACCTGAAACAGCTCTCGTGATATGAGCAGAAAAAACCCTTTTCACTCCTTGTCTCACCACCCTATAGGAGCAAAGATGTTCTCTATAAAGTAGAGATGAGTCTAGATTTCCGCCATTGGTCCTCTAGTCATCATCCTTCTTGCTTCATACATTGGAGCTCCTCTGCATACCAGGAAGCTCATTTGGAAGCGGGATGGAGAAGACGCTCAGGAATGATCATGTCTAAGGCCCTAGTCAACTCCTGATTCTGTTTTGCAACTAAGGATGCAACAGAATTGCTGGCAGAACTAGCCTAGGGCTGACTGGAAACCTATTGAATCCATAAGTCTTTGTGGGTGGCCCATTCTAAATGATCCATAATTTCTACAGAGGCACAAAAAAGTGAGTGTGATCTTAGACTTGACTTGCCTATGATCTGACCAAGCCAAGACTGAGGGTGCAGAAACCTCAGTCTTTAGAACCAGCTCTTCAGAGCTGCATATAGCATCAAGTGTGTGCCCAGCAGTATGTGTGGGCCCAGAGACCAACTGTGACAGGCCCAAGACTGCCATGGTCAACATGAATTTATGAGCAGCACCAGACAAACTGGATCAAAAGCAGCATTGAATCCCACAGAATTAACAATCTGGGGGAATCCAACACTAATTCCAAGACCAGTTATGTGAGTTTGGCCAGAGATTCTGCAAGGCAATGAGGTAGTTTGTATACCAGAAGAATCCCTAGACTGTCTCTGGACTCCAACTTCATGTATATATGCTTTATGTATTTCAGCTTCTTTACAGGGTAGCTGGTCAGAGGGATGGTATTCTTACAGATCACAGCCACACTGCCCTCTTGCCCAATTTCCCTTACCTGTTTCACAGCACAAAAGCCAGCTGGGAAGGGCTGTGCCCATGTGGAACCACTGTCTTCTCCGAGCCAGGTCTCTGTGAGTCAGGCCAGGCCAGGCCAAACCTCTCATTTCTAACCAGAGCATGAATGATCACAGTTTCATTATAGACTGACCTGACATTACCAAGGAACAGTGAAATTGATTGTGGATGGCTCAGGCTGCTCTCCAGTGTACCTTAGTTGGTAGAACAACCAGAAGCAGAGAGAATTATAAGACAAACTCCTCCTTCTCCTGCAACATTCCTTCACTCTGCCAGCCCCGTATCACCCATTGCCCTGCAGCACCTGAATGGTCCTCCTCCTACACATAATTCCCAAAGCATAATTCTTAAACAGCAACTGTTGGAGAGCCAAGGCAGACACTTCCCCTCTGCAAGGCAGTGGAGGTGGTTGGAACATGGAGTGAAGAGCAGGCATCTGCAGAGATGTTAAATAGCCAGGAATCCTCTTCCCACCAGTCCCCAAGTCCCTCATCAGCCCCTGGTGCAGGGTGCCAGGTGGAGTCTTCATCCTGTCCAATAGTGGGCCTGCCTATAAAGTCCAAGAGGAGGCTTCTGAAGAGCCAGGCCAGATGCTTCCTTTTTGCACCAATGATGTTCTGGTGAGGCAGATGTTGTGAGGGGGCCATAGGTTTGCTCCAGGATTTCTAATGTAGAAATCCAATTTTTTTTAAATCCATGTTTAATAATTGATTGTCCAGCTTTTTGAACAACTTGCTGAATGTTTTGCTTTGCTTCTTGTTCATGAACAGTTTCAAGAGCTGTTCCACCTATGTGCTCTTCATATTTTACTGCAATAGTTTTAACTACAAACCTGCTAGTATGAATGAGCCATCATGAATTGAATACTGTTGATGGTTTTTCTGTATAAGTTTGCAGATGCTGATTTGTCAGATGTATAGTTGTCAGATGCTGAGGAATCAAGTTACATAATATATGTGGGAACCAATTCTTTGTAGTTAGAATAGCAAATTGTGATCTCTGCCATAGATCAGCAGAGCACATTTGAAAAACTAAAATCATTCAGAATCGTTAGGAACACTACACTTCTGGGGACTCCTGTGCTTCCTGCTTGTATGTGTAAATGCTGTCTTTTGAAAGATGTATCTGGCATGTTTTCAAGTATTATTCCCCCCGCCTCCCAGTGAACATAACTTTTCTATTGCTTAACTAAATTGGTATGTGAAGCCATATTGTGTTTTCCTGCGTTGCTGTGCTATTCTGGAAGATAAATAATCCCTGACCACAAAGCGCCATCTAATTAAGGGGGGGGGGGCATTATTCCTTATAAGGCATCATCAGAGTACTTCAGTTCTGTGAATGGGTGGTTGCACTTTTACTGTTCAGTCTGTTTCATGCAGGCAAGGAGCTCTACCAGGAAATTGCAAGCTGCTGGTAACAAAGCAGAACCGGAATTTAAGCAAGCAGTTTATCCAGTTTCTCTAACTTCAGCGTGACTATGGGAAAATCAGGTTGGTAAAAAATTATATTTTGCATTTGTGTGTGTGAATGGGTACACATATTTTAAAAAATCTAAAATCTTGTACCTGAATTTTGATATTTCCCATATATCTCAAAGTTTATTGGCTCCCCTTTATCTAGAGAGTAGCCTGGAATAAGTTTCTTTATATAAATGAAACCCAATTGGCACTGTAGAGAATGTAAATTTGTTATGCTTTATATTTGTTTGGCATACAATAAAATATGGTATTCCAAAATGTGACCTGCAGAAAGTGTGCAAAAGCAATTGTTGTAAGGGTAATACAATTTTAAACAGTCTGCTCCATGACCATAATCAAGAGTGTTTTAATCTAACTCTTGGAGGGAAGGGTGGCAAAAGCCCTAATTAAGCCCTGAGGGAAATATTAGGGACAAGAACAGAAGGGACAAAGGAGGAGGTAAAAACTGAAGTCCCCGTTAATGCAATTATTCTTTAATTTAACTCAATGATTCTTTCATTTAAGCACTTGTTTCTTGGGAGGTTGTGATTAACGGTATGCAGGAAGCAAGCTGTGAGTAGCACCAGACTATTTGGCAAGAATTCAAATAACTTTCATGGTATGTTGGATTTTAGGCTCCACAGCTGTGCAGGCTAACATGAGAGGCAGTAAGCATTTCTCCTTTTCTGTATCCCTGACAAACAGGAATCCCTTTTTCATTGCATGCGTCACATTTAGAACTACTATAGTTTTCATAATGAAAGAGGCAGTGGCGGTAAAGTCAGTGACCTAGAAGATGCTTTGAAAAAACAAAATGTTCTTGTGGAGCAGTGTTGTTCTGGATCAGAATCATAAATTTATTTTAATTAATTAATTTCTATACCACCCAACACCCGAAGCTCTCTGGGTGGTTCAACAAAGCACATTAAAGAAAATAAGATATATTGTATAAAACACATTAAAACATCATTAAAGTACAAAATCTAATATAAAATTAAACAGCTTATATATCTATATAGATAGATATTAAAAACTTTTTAAAAAAAGAAAAATATTCAGGCTTAGCAGCTAACAGGCCCCAGAAGCTCTTGGATTCCCATGCAGTACAGGATCGTCTTTACCTGGCACTGAAAAGATCATAAGGTTCGTGCCCAGTGGACCTCAATGAGGAGTTCATTCCATATCTGGAGGGCCACCATTGGAAAGGTCCTTCTCCTTGTTGCCACCAACTGAGCCTCCCTTGGAGGTGGCAGTTTGAGATAGGTCCCAGAACTTTGACCATAGTGACCATAGGTAGAAGAAAGTTGGAAGCGGCATTCCATCAGGTATCCCAAACTGTATAGGGCTTTATAGGTTAAAACCAGCACCTTGAATTGGGCTCAGAAGGATATAGGCAACCAGTACAGGTGGGCCAGAAATTGTGTTATATGATCAGATCATCTGATCCCTGTTATTAATCTGACTGCCACATTTTACACAAATTGCAACTTCCATTCTTCAAGGACAGCTCAATGTAGAGTACATTGCAGTAATCTAGATTATGAGAACATAGATCACTGATAGCAGACTATCTCTGTCCAGATAGGTATGTAGCTGAACCACCGGCCAAAGCTGGTGGAAGGTGTACTGAGCCACTGAAGTCACCTGGGCCTCAATTGACAAAGATGGTCCAAGGAGCACCGCAGGCTTTGCATCTGCTTCTTCAAGGGAAATGCAAAACCCATCTAGAACAGGTTAATTTCCCTCCATCGGGTCAGAAGATCCACCCACTAATAGCATCTCAGTCTTGTCTTGATTGAGCTTCAGTTTGCTAGCCCTCATCCAGTCCATTGTTGCAGCCAGGCGGTTCAGCACACCCACAGTCTCACCTGCTGAAGATGAAAATGAAAAATAGAGCTGCATGTCATCAGTGTTCTGATAGCAATGCACTTCAAAACTCTGGATGACCTTACTCACCGTTTTCATGTAGATGTTAAACAGCATGGGGGACAAGACTGACCCCTGGGGAATCCAAGGGGAATCCTGGAGAATCCAAGGGGTAGAACTATATCTCCTAAGTACCACTTTCTGGAACCTACCATTGAAGGAGGAGTAGAACCACTGCAATGCAGTGCCCCTCACTCCCAGCCCACACAGTCATCCCAGAAGGATAGCAGGGTTGATGGTATTGAAAACTGCTGACAGGTCCAGGAGAACCAACAAGGTTGCACTCTCTCCCAGCATAGATCGTCCTACAGGGCAACCATAACTGTTTCTGTGCCAAAGCTGGGCCTGAACCCCAACTGAAATGGATCCAGATAATCAGTCTCATTTAAGAGTGCCTGGAGCTGGTTGGCCACCACCTGCTCAAGAACCTTGCCCAGGAAGGGGATGTTTGCACCAACCCAAAATTGTTGAGTTCTTTTGGGTCCAGGGAAAGTTTGTTCAGGAGTGCTTGTTTCAGGTGGCCTGGGACCATGCCTTCTCATACAGAAGCATTACAGATCTCTGCCTTCTGGCTTTTATTAGCAAGAGGAACAAGGATCCAGTACAGACATGGTTACACAAACTTGTCCAAGCACCTTGGCAACATCTTCAATCTGTACTTACTGGAATTCATCCAACATAGCTAGATCATGCTGTGCTCTAGATATCTCATCTGATTCCACTCTCTAACATTGGAGTCCAAGCACTGATGAATACAAGAAATTTTGTCCTAATGAATATATTACAGCAAGCTTCAGGCGGCACCAAAATAGCCCTTGGACAATCCTGGAGAGTTCTGCTGGGTGGCAAATAGATTGAATGGAGGCAGTCAGATAGTGTTTTGCTGCTTTCACTGCCTCCAAATTTATTGAACTGTAAGCACAAACCAGGACTCAGTTGGATTCACAAGGAATTTTCCTCCATCTGCACTCAAGCTGCCTCCTGAATCGTTTCATTACTCTACTACAGAGAGGGTGCTCAGGAACTATCATGTCAACTGCCTGTTCCAGAGACAAACCATCATCTCTGTTCCAGAGACAAACCAGAGTTTCAATAGGACCACCAGCCATATCAGCTGGAAAATTCTCTAGAGCCCTCTGGAAACCATCTGGATTCATCAGTCTCTGCGAACAGACCATTGTAATAAGTCCCCTATCTTACAGAGGGTAAAAGTCACCATTAGTCTAAATCTCAGTAGACAGTGATCCGACCACGACAAGGGAACTGATTCAAGTTCTCCTATCTTCAGATTGCTGTCTCCCTGCCAGATGAATAAAAGCAATTCTTAGTGTGCCCAGCTTCACATTTTGAGCCAAAAACATGTTGAAACAGTCCCAAGGTTGTCATTGAATCCATGAAATCCTAAGCTGCCCCAGACAGTACACCTTCAACATGGATGTTGACATTTCCCAAAACCAACAGCCTGGGAAACAACATCACAGCAGGGACAACTTCTGTCAGCTCAGATAGGGAGACTGTTGGGTTGTGGGGTGGACAGAATCTCCAATCTGTCTCACAGGCCCAACACAAGATGCAGATGTTCTAGATTAGGAGTCAGATGGAGAGAAAGACAGGAGAGAAAGATATGTATCTGTTTACAAGATAGAATTCCTATAGACCATGGCAACCCCACCCCAGCCTTCCAGTCTACCTTGATGCTGTACCAAGTATCCAGGTGGGCAGAGCTGGGAGAGACTACCCCCTCATTCACCCACCCAGATCTTAGTTATGCACTCCAGATTGGCCACCTAATCCACTATTAAATTGTGGATGAGGGAGGTCTTATTATGTACCAATCTGGTATTCATCACTACACTAACTCCCACCCCATCAGAACTCCCCACTTGGTCCCATCCCCATCCACCACTGCAATACACAGGGCCTCTGAAGAAGAACCCACTCCCCCCAGGCACAGGGAATAACAACACTATGGGGGGGGGGGTTACCCTTGTACTCCCCTTGAAGCAGCTTCACCAACTTATGTCAGACTGACAGAAAGAGTCCTGCTGCATTTTGGGCCAGGTGTAGGCAGTAGCCCATCGAGTCCACAGTAGGCAAGCCTCTTTGCAGGAATGGAGCCCCTGGAGCTAGTCTCGGCAGTGCCTCAATCTACCCATCCTCAAGATCAGCCAGGAGAGAAAGGCTGATGAGGTGACAAGGGGGCTGGGGAGAGGCTAACCCATGTGGGAGAGAGCGCTGGCAAGGTCATAAAGCCAGCATTCTCACCCTTGCTGAGAAAGTCAAGGCTGTAGTCTCCAGGTCTGATAAGTTTGACAACTGTATCCAAAGTGGTAAGAGATTTTGACCACAAGTTTCAAGTCATATTTGGTTTCTACCTATAATTTAGACTTGGTTTCTATGGCATTCGAAGCTGTACAATAAGCAGGAATGTAACAGCTGCCCAACATAAGAGATTGAGTGATGCCAAACGTGATACCTATTACATTTCTGCTCATTATGTGGCTTTTAAAGGCTCAGAATACTTGCTAGAAACAAAGGTGGCAAATATAATTGCTCTATTCCTCCGTCGAAGTATAATTGCTCCAGTTGAAGCATTTTATTTTTGTGTGTTCATGTAAAATGTTTTATAGGTGTTGGTTTTTGATAGGCCATTTTAGTTAAGATTAGTTGGAAAGGGGTAGCTATATTATCAGTGATGGAATTACCTAGGAAACCTGTAAGTGATGGATGGGCAAGCTATATTTCTTTTCAATAAACCATTAATTTAATTAAATGGTGTACTTAATTCCTCTTGGATAATGAGACACTTGTGAACTCAGCATAGTATAAACTACAGTAATTGTTCAAGATTTTGTACTCATTAATGCTTCTCTGCATGTTTTGATTTAATCATAAGAAAAATATACTGATAACAGAATCACTATAGCAACAGCATCATGTTGTAATGTTACCTGCTAGCTGCCCAGGTATATATTAAAGTATATTTACAACTGTGCATACTATTACTTAATGCAGAATACGATATTGTGTTTGGTGGACAAGTATGAGAGACACTCTATTTTCTGTTGGACTATGCAAAAAGAACTCCAACAAGAAGCTTAGTCCTC